GTATCCTGCCAAAGAGATGGCAGGACAGGAAGAGGACAGAGAGAAATGGAGTATCCAGAGAAGTTAGCTACGCAGGGAGCTTGGGAGTGTGAAGGTCACTGGACTGAGAATCGGGAGGCCTGGACTTCTGGTTCTGGCTCTGTGGCTATGTGACTTGTGAAGGTCACTTTCCCTGCTGGAACCTCACTGGGCCATGAAGTAGATGATCCCCTAAACCTTCTGGAAACCAAAATAGCAGCTGTAGGACTACCAGCCTGTAGGAGCTCAGCTGTAGGCAAGGCCAATAAGAGATGGTCTGAGGGGGTTGACAGCTCTAGGGAATCTATTTGCTCACCCAGCCATCAAGTGTGGAGCCCAGCCGTGTGCCAGACCCTGAGGCTACTGCATAAATAAGATGGAGCCATTACACTTGAGCCAGGGTCAGATCACAGAGGAACTGGATCACTTGTTGCCTGGGCCGAAGATATAGAATGAGGACAGGGCCCACTGCAAACAAAATACTGCAGCCTCAAGAAGCTGGGTCTGGAAGGGAAGACAGGTAAGGAAGACAGTCCACACACCAGGATTGGGGCCAGGGGTGGCTCTRCTGGAGTCTCGTGTGAGCAGGAATAGGAAGAAGCCTGAGCAGGTGATGCATGTGACTGGGGCTAAAGGAGGGTGGATAGATGGGAACAGGGCAACCCAGCAGAGGAATCACTCATGGGAAGGCCCAAGGGGTCCCATGGTACAGCTCCTGGGAACTGCAATCTCTTCACTTTACTGTGGGGCTATGCAAGAGTTGATGTGGGTGGGAACCTGGGGTGCCTGCCTCTGGGGGTGTGCTTATGGTGAGAACAAAGGGAGCTTTAAAGGGCCTTGGGCAGCTCAGGTGACAGTAGAGGAATGATTGAGGGGGGGACGGTTAGGAGACCCTCACAACCTCCCTTACTTCTCTAAATATCCCCCTCCACCCCAGCCTCATCCTTTGCCTCCATAGCACTCAAATATCAGCCTTTCYTGGGAGTCCCCTAAAGACAGGGGCCTTCTTAGCTTTGGCTATTTCCCTGCCCAGCCTTGTGCTTGTGGAAGTCCTGCCCCAAGTCATGTTAATTAGTGACTTTCCATTAATCTGCTGGTTACTTGCAAGCCACAGAGGACTCCTCTGACTTGTCTGGGCCTCCAGTGCATCTGTAGGAGAGAGCTCTTCATTACTTTGTAGGCTGGGAGTCGGTTACAGTGGGAGCGAGGCAAGCAAAGTGAGGGCTTGCAGCCACAAGACAGCCCAGACCACTGTGACCCGAAAACTTTCACTCATCTCTCCCTTATAACAATCCTTCAAGGTAGATAYTGCTGTTTCGATCACTTTCCAGGTGAGGAAACTGTGGTACAGAGAGCCTAAGCAAGTTCCCCTAAGGATATGTCGCTAATGGTGGCAAGGCCAGRATCTGGGATCTTTGCACTACTGTGATGTCCTGGAACCTACCAACTCCTTATTACAACTACAGACGAGGACTTCAGCAAACACGGTCTCTGGGGCACACCTGCCACACCCTCCACATGCCCAGGTTCTGGCCCTGGTTGCTGTATGTTCCCATGTTTTCCTGATGGGCTAGAGGTTCCTGGTTACTCAGGGGAGAAGGAGCCTTGTGGAGCCCTCCTGTCCTGGAAGTCCAGCCTGCATTCTGAGCCTGAGGTACCTGCCTCCAGCGCCTGCCAYGGGCTCCCATCCATGTTATGCCATCTGCCATGGGCTTTAGACCCTGAGTGAATCATCCTAGGGGACTCCTGAGAGACAAGAAAGGCTAGAAGCCAGATTTCCATCTGGCCAGATGTTCTTTAAGCTGGGGGACTTCTTTACCCTATCCTTCTATCTGTTCTGGAGAAAAGAGAGCCCTGGAACTTTGTTAGTGAGTCAGATGTAGGGAGTAGGTGGAAGGGACACAGGTCACGATAATGGAGCCCTRTAACCTAAGAGTCAGATCCAGAGACTAGGGCTGCCCACTTCCTCCCAGAGGCTGCAAGGGAATGTGGTTTTCAGGAGAAAGAACTAGAAAAACCAGAGAATTCAGAGTGTAGAGGTCTTGAATAGGGCAGGCAGGTTGGTTAGAAGGATATTCCTGCCTCGTTCCTTCTTATYTGCATGATTTGTTCGTCACTTAGTGTGAGCAGGAGCTGCTCCAGTAAAGAAAGCTTAAGCAGGTATATGAAGACTTATGCACTCCTGCCAGATGGGCATGATGGGAAGAAGGAACCAAGTTATAATCCTGCCTCTGCCACTCTAGCTGAGGGACCACCAACAGACCTCGCCTCCTCTGAACATCAGAGTGATTAGCCTCATTGATCTAGGAGGCAAGTGTGCATTGTGGTTAAGAGAGCTCAGGCTTTGGATTCAGACTAGATTGCCTGGGTGAAAGTCCTGGCTACCTTTACTCACAGCCTGTGACCTTGATCAAGTTACCCAGTCCAAACTTGGTAAAGGAGTTCTATTGTGCAAGGATTGTGATCCTGCTTGATCCATAATAATTATTTCTCCCTTCCAGTTATAGACTTCAGTAACTCTTTGTCCTACACACACACACACACACACACACACACACACACACACACACACAGAGGAAATCATCTTTCTCAATCCCCCCCCCCACGTTAGGTTCTCATTTTTGTAGCATTTTGTTGTTGTCATTGCTGTGATTGTTTAATATAGACACAGGGAGAAAGTTCAAGCAAATTTCTTTCACCCCCTTTGCTCCAAAGATTCAAACACATTCTTCTGCTAGTGATGGGCAAGTGATGTCACCAAGCAATGAGACCCCTTAGCAGTCCTCAGACCACAGGGTAGTGCACATACAATGGAGAAGACATGAACATCCAGACAGGGTTTGTTTTAAAGGGTCATAGGTGAAAATACCAGGGGGGTGGATTTTGGGATCCTGCCTGGGGGATCCAGTCAGGGACATCTGCCTGACTCATTTCTGGCAGGGGAAGTCTGGTGTCAAGTCTCACCTGGCAGGAATTGAGCCCGGAGTGGAATATGCCACCCGTGTCCTCACCTCCAGTGTCCCCTCAGCCAACCCGAGTGAATGAAAGATCAGATGACCCAGGCTGGCAGGAAAAGGAGATGCCAGCATTGTGACCCAAGAAGGGATTTCCTGTCAAGGGGAAGTAGAGCTCTGATTCACCATCTCCACAAGTCTCTGGGATCATAAGGAACCTGATGGGACCTTCCTCAGTTTCCCTTTCCGGAAAATCAACCTATATGCTCGCACACCTCATTGTTCCAGAAATCATTTACAGCTAAAGGAAGTAAAAGCAACCCCCTGCAGAATTACAGGGTGGCAGAAGCACACAGGGATTTCGGAGATCTTAGGCAGCCATTTGTTGCAGAGATCTGCAGCCTTTACCAGTCACTGCAGTAGTGACAGTAACCACAGCTAGCACGTGCTGAGCGCTTACTGCTTCCAAGTGACAACCTAACAGGCAAATGTGTTCTTCCTGTTTCACAAGTGAAGCTTAGAGAAATCGGGGGTAACCTAGGGTACCAGCTAATACATTGCAGCTTTGGGGTGAAATGTGGGCCCCTGCTGTCTACATCCAGGAGAACACTTGGTCTCTGATCTCAAAAACCCTTATTCTCTAGCAGGGGTATATTAAGCACTGAATGAATCGGGGCTCTCTCAGCAGGAGATGCCCCAGGCACAAGCACTGAAAGATGAATGACTGCCCAAGGCTGTATATAAGTGCCTGTGCAGAGGTGGGGGGGGGCAGGGGTTCTCAGCCAACAGTCATGGATGCCAGGGTGTGTCCATGGCAGGAAGGGTCTTGACCAGACACAAACCACTTTTACTGGGACTTGCTTACTTCACACTGGGAGCAGAATTAACCAAGGCACAGAGTGGTTAAGAACTATGGGGGGATGGGAGTAAGGGGTGCAGGTGGGTGGAGCAGAGGGTTCCAGCCACAGCCAGATTGGAAAGGGACCTTTTTCCCTCTGCCCCCTGCTAGGCTCCCCCATTCACTCGGTGAGTCAGTAATAGGAAGGAGCTCTTGGCCTGCTGATCATGCCATTAGTACCCCCTAGGGAAAGGGGAAGTGGGGAGGGAAAGGTGAGCCATCCCAGCTCCCCCTGACCGGAAGGGAAGGCAGCAACAGCTGCAGCCTGCCCTTGACACAACCCTGTCCCCACTAGCCCTAAAATGAGAGGTGGGTGGCCAGGAGCCTGGCTAATCAGAAGCACCAGGGCCATTTGGAGAACTGTCCTCAAGTCTGCTGAATAAGGTCAGAGAGAAGCTCTGGAATCTGACTTGTGAAAGCGCAGTCCCTCCCTGTGATGCCCTGGTCAGGTGGTGGCAGCTGCTCCACCCAGTGGAAGCCTCAGCTCTGAACAAACCAGATGCCAAAAAGAGGTGCTATTGGGCTGGGGATGTAGCTCAGTGGAAGAGAACTTCCCTTGCGTACAAGGCCCTGGGTTTGATCCTCAGCACTGCAAAAAAGAAAACAAACTGACAAAAAAAAAAAGAGGTACTATCTTCTTCAAGGTGAAGCTCCATACTGTCAAAGGGTTCTTTGGTTTTTGGGGTTTGGCTTTTTTTTTTTTTTTTTTGGTACCAGGGATTGAACCCAGGGACACTTAACCATTGAGCCACATCCTCGGCCCTTTTTTATATTTTATTTAGAGACAAGGTCTCACTAAGTTGCTGAGGTTGGCTTTGAATTTGCACTCCTCCTGCCTCAGCCTCTTGAGCCTCTGGGGTTATAGGTGTGCACTAACAGGCCTGGCTTAAGGATTCTTTCTGATGGGTTCACTTTGTCAATTTCCCAGAAAGCTTTGGAACCTTTGGATGGGGGTCTTTCTTTTAAGTCATGAGATTAAATGGGAAAGGTGAAGTCCTAAGGCGGAAGAGGAAGGTGTCTATTGTGGGTATCCAGGTGCCCTTTTCTCCAGGGCTTGAGCTGGAATGGAAGGCTGGAATGGATTCCCCTTCTCTCCATCTGGTGTCCCATCCTCCTGTTCTTCCCTTCAGGATGTGAAGATCTTCCGGGCCCTGATCCTGGGGGAGCTGGAAAAGGGGCAGAGTCAATTCCAGGCCCTCTGTTTTGTCACCCGACTGCACCACAATGAGATCATCCCCAGTGAGGCCATGGCCAAGCTACGGCAGGTGAGTACCCACCCTGGACTGCCCTGGCCAGTTGCTGACCCAGAACCCCCATGTTTTTAGAGACAGGGTCTCAGTAAGTTGCTTAGGGTCTCACTAAGTTAGTGAAGCTGGCTATGAACTTGGGATCCTCCTGCCTCAGCCTCCAGACCCAATGTGATTACAGGTGTGTATCACCATACCCATAAGCTGGTGACATTGGACACATTACCTACCCTCAGAGCCTCAATTTTCTTATTAAGGAAATGAGTTATAAGAGAGAATGTAGTGAGAAAATACATGTGCTCAGCATGACCTTCACAGCCCTACAACCTGCTGACCTGCTGCTGGCCCCCTAGACCCCAGTCCTTTGGTGGCTTCATCTGAACTGCCTGGCCTACCAACAGGCCTGCCCCATGACCTCCTCCCCTCCCTTTCACCTGCCCTTCCCAGAGAGACTCAGCTCCCTGGGTGTGGTTAGCACATGACAAGGGCTGGGGTGTAGCTTAGTGGCAGAGGGGTACAAGGCCCTGGGTTCCATCCCTAGCACTGCAAAAAAAAAAAAAAAAAACCTGACCTGAGAGGTCATTTACCCTGGGACAACTAGTAGCCTGGCCTGTCCACCTCCACCTCCCAGGAGCACCGCAGAATAGGCCATCAGGCTCCAGCGGTCAGCTGGAGAGCAGTTCATTCTGGATAGAAGCTGCAAGACCTCACTGCCCTCTGCAGTTTCAGGGGTGGGGCTGGATGCCCCTTGACTGCCAGCTGGGGCTCTCAGGGATCATGGGAGATCTGGGCAGGGAGCACTCCAAGGCCAGGTAGGAGTGGCTCCTGTCCTCTTCACACAGAAAAACCCACGGGCAGTGAGGCAGGCTGAGGAGATGCGGGGCCTGGAACAGCTGCACATGGACATCGCCGTGAACTTCAGCCAGGGCGGCCTGCTGAGTCCCCATCTTCACAACGTATGCGCTGAGGCCGCAGATGCCATTTACACCCGCCAGGAGGATGTCCGGTTCTGGCTGGAACAAGGTCAGTTAGTTGCTGGGCCCTGTCTGCAGCACGGCAGAGAGAAGGGGGTGGAGGGACATCACAGATGGTCGAAGGGGCACCTCACTGAGGGGCTCCTTCATTTGTTCAGGAGATGTTTATTGAGCACCTGCAGAGATGAGTCAACCTGGGGTCAGAGATGTAGACGCCTAATTCCTGTTCCTAGGAGCTTCCTGGGYAGGGCTGGCGGAGGGGGCTAGATTGACAAAGCTTTAAGTCTGGCAGAGTGCATAATAATGAGCCCGGGCATTCAGGGGTGGAACCTCTAAGCCATGCTGTGATCAGTCCAGGAAGGCTTCCTAGAGAAGTGGTGCCTGTGTAGCTGTCAGTAAGGGTCATTCAGATGAAAGGGACTCATTCCAGGAGGGACACGGGACTGCCAGACCCTTCAGAGGGAGATTCTCCGACTCTCCCCCATATCCCTGCCCTTGGGACACAGACCTTCCGTCATGAGAGGGGATCACAGGCACCCATTCTTCCCTGCCTGCCTCTGCTGCTGCCTCCCAGAAATCAGTTTTGCACCATCCCCGGTGCCAGTGTCTCCCCCATGATTCTTGATACCTCTCCCCATGATCCCTGGGACCTGCCCACAGCTCTGTACAGTCCCTGTGTGAATTCAACACTGGCCCAGCTCTCTGTGCCCTTCCCAGGACTGCCCCAGGTCCTCTATGTGGGAGGAACAGGAAAACATCACCATTCCAGCTCCTGGCCCCTGATCTCTCCACCCAGCCTCCTGAGCCTAGAGAAATGCGTGCTGTTCCCTGGGCGGGACTGGATTGAGAGATGCTCATAGGGCTAGCCATGCCTGGCTCACCACTTCCCCATGTGCTGTGCCCCAAACTAAGGCATAAGCCTGACACTAACACCCCACAGAAGCTGGTCCCTCTCACAGTCACTGAGCAGAGCCTGGCCCAGCCCCTGCCGTCTCCTCGTCTATGGGCAGGTTTGGGCTGTCCTCTCCCTGCTTAGCCCTACTCAGACACCATCTCCCTTAAGAAGCTGTCCTGATTTCCTCCCCAGTCTCCCCAACACCTCTGTTTTGGCACACTCCAGTACAGTGGTGTTTTAAAGCCAAGTACAAATTTGAAGTCAGACAGACCTGACTCTCTCTTTCCCTTTTTTTTTTTTTTTGGTACCAGGAATTGGAGCCACATCCCCAGCCCTTTTTAATATTTTACTGGAGATAGGGTCTCGCTAAGTTGCTGAGGCTGACTTTGAACTTGCAATCCTCCTGCCTCAGCCTCTTGAGCCACTGGAATTACAGGCATGTGCCACCGTGCCTGGCTGTGCCCCAGTTTTCTAATCTGTGAGACGGGTGACAATGCTTAGCTCATGGGTGAAGGAAAGAGGTACTGAATGTAGAATCCCTGACACATAGTTGGGACTCAATAGATGAAGGTGATTGTGACTCAGTGCCTCCCACTTACCTCCATATACCCAAAGGAGCTTGGGAAGGGGGTGACTAAAGAGTCTGGGAGAGGGCTGCAGCCTGCAGCTAGRATGCCCCCTCCCTCTCTCATCTTTGCCTTTCTCCCCCAGGTGTGGACAGCTCTGTCTTCGAGGCTCTACCCAAGGCATCTGAGCAGATGGAACTGCCTCGCTGCAGGCAGGTGGGGGACCGTGGGAAGCCCTGCACCTGCCGCTATGGCCTGAGCCTGGCCTGGTACCCCTGCATGCTCAAGTACTGCCACAGCCGTGAGCGGCCCGCRCCCTACAAGTGTGGCATCCGAAGCTGCCAGAAGAACTATAACTTTGACTTCTATGTGCCCCAGAGGCAACTGTGTCTGTGGGATGAGGACCCCTAGCAGGGCTGCTCTGGGCCCTGCCACCAGAGGAGGTGGCCACCCTACCTAAGGCCTTAAGTTCCCTTCCCCCACTCTGGCCCTGAAGCCTTGGCCTGCCTTCCTCTTGCATGACTGTGAACGGGGTGGGACAGCAGGGTCATTCATGAAGGCAGCCCCCTCCCACCCTGTGCCTTCCTTGGGGGCAGGGAGAGACAAAGCTAGTTCTCCACACTTGCCCCCTTCCCCTCCTCATCTCCCCTGAAGTGTTCACTTTCAAGCAACCAAAATGTGACAGCCTAGAATTCAGCTCTTCAAAGGTTTAGATCCTAAAAGGAGTCTCTGCCTATTAACCCATCTCCCCACTCATGACTAGAAGGAGCTGGCCTTGCCACACCTTCCTATTCCCCACCAATGAAAGGATCTGCACCTCCAAAGAGGTGCTCTTGGGGACCCATGTCACAGCCCCTATGCCAGATCCCATGCATTCTTCTTTCTCACAAGGCCAGGCCGGGTGTGGGGCTGAGCAGACGCCTACCACCCCTGACACTGACCACACGTGCCTTTCCCCAGACCTGGACTTTGCCCCTGGAGTGGGCACCCCCTCTTCCTCCCTCTAAACAGAAATATTTTTGTAAGGTTCTGGAGCAGGGAGGGAGTATGAAGTACAAGGAAAAYTTGAATTCCAGATTTTTAATACAAAGTATTTATCATTTGTACCATAAATAAAAGTTTTAAATTTTTACTTGACACACTAGACCCAGAGATCAAAGAGAAATTTTATCCACTACTGCCACCTGGTGTCAGAAGTGTCCTCCTATATGATCAGTGACCCATTTGGGGACAGCACCTTCTAAAGTACCCACTGTGTGCTTTATCACTTGGGAAAGGGGTAGGTGTGAGGGAGGGTGGTATCAGGGAAGGATAGAATAAAACTTGTGCACTCAAGAGATTGAGAGATAAGGGGTTGAGGTCTGGCTTAGTAGTAATACATTTGCCTAGTATGTGCCAAGCCCTAAGTTCCACCCCCAGCATTGGGAAGAAAAAAAAAAATGAGACTTTGAAACAAGCCATCCAGCATTCAAATTAAGGGAACCAACCTAAGTGCTCTTCAACAGATGAAGAGATGTCCCCAAATGGRTAGAAACTACAAGACCTGACTGCTCTCTGCAGTTACTACACAAGGCCTTGCTACATATTTGCTGTGCAATCTTGGGTCAAGTTACTTTACTGTCTGTGCCTCAGTTATAACATAATCCTAATTTGTAAGATTTAAAGTGACTTCATACACGTCAAGTGCCTATCACTCAGTGAGTGTCCTTAGCCTTTGTTATTAATATGGCTACCATTGGTGAAAAGATCAGACATTGCCTCATCCATGAACCTGAGACCACCAAAGCAGACATGGAAGGCTCTTCACTTCCCCAGCATCTTCCAGATAAAAAGGCTGCCACCGGAAGTGCTGGGCCGGTGCTAGCAGCCAGAAGGAGGGATGTATAGGCTGTGTTGAGAGGAGAAGGCTTCTTGGAAGAGAATGGGTATAGGTTGAGGCTGAAAGATGACAACAGTTTGGCCAAGTTGAGGCAAGAGGGTTTCATTGGTCCTGCAGGGGACCCAGCTCCTTAGGAGGGAGCATGTAGGGTACCCATCCTTCCTTCAARGTCTTGGGGGGGAAGCGGGGTTCGTGGAGCTTTCCCCTCTACCTGCTCCTGCGTCTCTAGAACAGGCTGTGTGCAGAAGAGTGTTGCTGTGGGGGCCAAGCTGTCCTGGCTGTGGTCAGGCGGAGTGTCCATGGAGGTAGCCTTGGGGGGACATGCCGCCTTCTAAGCATTCAAGGACCTGCTGCAACCTCCCCAGGGRTTGAAGGAGGGAGGTGCACACTGCATTTTTTCCCTTCCTTCTTCTGCCCAACCTGAGACCTCAGTCCTGAGCCCCAACCATGCTCAAGGTAGAAGAGGAGATACTTGAGAAGGCCCATTCCACCCTGTGTGTAGAGCCTGCAGGATATACACCTTCAAAACACCTTTTTATTTTTTTAAATTGTTTTCAAGATTTGAAGGCCTCGGGGGATGGGATGTAGCTCAGTGGTAGAGCACTTGCCCAGCATATGTGAGGCACTGGGTTCCACCCTTAGCACCACATAAAAATAAATAAAATAAAGGTCCATCATCAACAACAACAACAACTAAAATTTGTATATATAGACTGGGGGTGTAGCTCAGTGGTGGAGCATCCCTGGGTTCAATCCCCAGTACTAAGGGATTTCCCAAGAGTTTGAGGCTGACCTTCATTCTCAACAAAGTAGACACCTCCCAAGGGTGCCACTTTCCAGGGACAAGTAATAGCCCACCATTGCAAACCTCCCTCCCAGCCTTGGGCCCACTCCCAGTGCCTAGAATTCCACCCCAAAGTCTGCTGCTGAGATTCTCACATTTTTGTGTTCATCACAATCATACAGGAACTTGTTAAAGCAGATACAGATGATCAGCCATTTGAGTCCCAAGGAGATGAGGCTGTACTCATTATCCTCAGGAGGCCTTTGTGGCCATGTGGAAACTCCCAGGAGAGGTAATATAATCAGTGGTCATTTCTCTGTGGCACTTTAGGGCTTACAAAGTATCTACATATGCATTAGCCCATTAGCTCCTGGCAGGGATTCTGGAACATTTTGCAGGTGTGGCTCACCTATACAAGTTGTGTGACTTGCCCAAGGTCAGACAGCTAGTGACAAAGCTGGGATCTGACCCCAGGCCATCTTTCTCTATGCCACTTCCTAAATCAAATAGGTCATCAGATGGATCATCTAGAGCCTCCAAGAGCACAGCTCACCTAAGGGAGGGAGACATGGGTTTGATTGGGGGCGGTGAGAAACCCCCCTTTGGGAGCACCAGCTCCCAGTACTAGTTCTGTGGGGGTGAAGAGGGACTCAGGTTTCCCCGGTACCAAAGTTAGCAGGAAAAGATTCCTGTGTGCTTCCCTTTTGAGAGAAGGTGCCCTCCAGGGAGACCGAGGCCCAGACCTCCCTGGTGCCTCTTGGAACCAGAGAGGAAGAGAATAGTATCTGGCAGTCCTGGCAGCATCGCCGGCTGGGCCCTACCTGGGTTCTCTCTCTGCGTCTCATGAGCCAAGGGASGACTTAGGAAGGGGAACGATGAGGGCCACAGTTAGGGACCTCTGCCCAGTCTTCATGGAATAGAAGAGGCTGGCATAAAAGGGGGCAGAAGCCACTCTGGAGAACCAAAGCTTGAAGAACCAAAGCCCATCAAGGGACTGGGGTGGGGGGGCATGAGCCACCTCAGCCTCCAGGCACCAAGGCCCAGCAGAACCAGCCTGTGGCCTCTGCCCTTCAGGGTGATGTCCACATCCTCCTGACTGACTGACCCTGGCTGCTTTGACTCTGGCTCTTGCTGCATGTCATGCTGTGAAAAGATCCTGATTCCTAAACAGGAGGAGGCGGGATGGAGTGATGATCTATTTATTATTATTATTATTATTATTATTATTATTATCATTATTATTTTGGTGGTGCTGGGGATTGAATCCAGGGCTTTGTGCATGCTAGGCAAGCACTCTACCAACTGAGTTATATCCCTAGCCTGATCCATTCTTTTTTTTAAAAATTGTTCTTTTTAGATATATGTTACAGTAGAGTGTATTTTGACATTATACATACACAGAGTATAACTTATTTGGGGGGGTGGTACTGGGGATTGAACTCAGGGACACTCAGTCACTGAGCCCCATCCCCAGCCCTATTTTGTATTTTATTTAGAGATAGAGTCTCACTGAGTTGCTTAGTGCCTTGCTTTTGCTGAGGCTGGCTTTGAACTTGCCATCCTCCTGCCTCAGCCTCCCAAGCCGCTGGGATTACAGGCACCACTGCACCCTGATTCTAATTAGGATCTCATTCTTGTGGTTGTACATGATATGGAATTTCACTGGTTGTGTATTCAGATATGAGCATAGGAAAGTTATGTCCAGTTCATTCTACGGTTTTCCCTATTCCCATCCATTCCCTTCGCTTCCTTCCCCTTTGTCTAATCCAAAGAACTTCTGTTCTTCCCCGCCCCGATTTATTGTGTGTCAGCATCTGCATATCAGACAGAACATTCATCCTTTGGTTTTGGGGGGTTGGCTTATTTCACTTAGCATGTGTTTTGTCAGTTATTTCAATGCTGTGACTAAAAGATTTGACCAGAACAATTGTAGAGGAGGAAAAGTTTATTTGAGGGCTCATGGTTTCAGAGGTCTTAGTACACAGAAGGCCGACTCTATTCCTCATGGCTCGAGGTGCAGCTGATCATGGCAGGAGACGGTGGAGGAGGGAAGCAGCTCACATCATGGTGATCAGAAAGCAGAGAGARAGAGAGAGTCTCCACTCTCCAGATACAAAATATATACCCCATAGCCATGCCCCCCAATTAATCACTTCTTCCAGCCACATCCTACCTGCCTCTAGTTACCACTCAGTTAATCCCATTGGGATTAATTTACTGATTAGGTTGACTCTCACAACCCAATCATTTCTCCTCTGAACCTTCTTGCATTGTTTCATACATGAGCTTTTGGGAGACACCTCATATYCAAATCATAATGGTATAATAGTCTCCAGTTTTATCCATTTACCAGCAAAAGTCATAAAAGTCATTCTTTTTTTATGACTGAGTAGCAGTTCATTGTGTATATATGCCACATTTTCTTTATCCCTTCATCTGTTGAAGAGCACCTAGGTTGGTTTCATGGTTTAGCTACTGTTAATTGAGCTGCTATAAACATTGATGTGGCCATGTCTTTGGGGTATATGCTGAGGGATAACTGGGTCAAATGGTTTCATTCCAAATTTTCTGAGGAACCTCCATACTGCTTTCCAGAGTGGTTGCACCAATTTGCAGTTCCACCAGCAATGTATGAGTGTATTTTTCTCCCCACATCCTCACCAACACTTACTGTTGCTACTATTCTTGATAATTGTCATTCTGACTGGAGTGAGATGGAATCTTTGTGTAGTTTTAATTTGCAATTCTCTAATTGCTAGATATGTTGAACATTTTTTCATGTATTTGTTGACCATTCATATTTCTTCTTCTGTGAGGTGCCTGTTCAGTTCTTCTATCCATTTATTGATTGGGTTATTTGACTGTGTGTATGTGTGTGTGTGTGTGTGTGTGTGTGTGTGTGTGTGTGTTTTAAATTTTTGGAGTTCTTTATATATCCCAGAGATTAATGCTCTGAGCTGCAGGTGGTAAAGATTTTCTCCCATTTGTAGGCGCTTTCTCTTCACACTGATGATCTACTCTTAGCTCTTTCTTTCTTTTTTCTTTTTTTTTTTTTAACCAGGGATTAAACCCAGGGGCACTTGACCACTGAGCCACATCCCTAGCCCTTTTTATTTTTTAATATACGTTCTCACTAAATTGCTTAGGGCCTCACTAAGTTGTTGAGGCTGGTTTTGAACTTATGATCCTCCCACTTCAGCCTCCCAAATTGCTGGGATTACAGGTGTGCACCACCATGCTCGGCTAGCTCCCTTCTTTCCTTCATCACAGAGAGCAGAAGGCTGGGACACTGCACCTCTCTTTGACCTTCATCCACTTTGTCCTGTCCAGAAGTCTCTCCTGTAATGGGAGAAGTGTCCCTTCTCCCCCACCTTCAGGATCTGAATCCCAGCCCCTTCCTTGGGGACCTACTTCTCTGGAATACCATCCCCTCTTCCTCTTCTACTTCTCTCTTTCTTACCTCCTTTCCATCAGCCCTGCCTGGCAGTATTGAACTCTTTCCCATCTTAAGAACAACATTAAATATGCCTCAAACCCTAGTTCCTCTCCACCTCCGTCCTGCTTCTCCGGGTTCCGTCACAGCCTCCTCTCAACACTTCCCAATGTGGGACTCAAGGCTGTGCTGCAATTGGCCGTGATGTGTGTCACAGACAGCTGGTAGTGGCATCAGTGAACTATCTCCACCTGTCCAAGACACAGCAGGTTCGTGGTCCTCCCTGCAGAACTGTCACCACCTCATCATTCCTGCTTTTCCACGTCGCATACACAGTCCTTCCCTGTAGTGCCCAGACGTCCATGCACCCTCTGGTGTGTCAGGGGCTCTCTTTGTGTGTWTCACCCCCTCCCCTCTTAGCTAGGATCTCAGCTTAGATGTTTCTTCCTCCAGAAAGCCCTTCCTGATGCCCACCACCAGATTTGGTCAAGGTTTGCCCCACAGCAGGTCCCCCTAGCACCCTCCACTTCCCAGTAGGGGAGGTGTCATAGAATGAGGGATGTGCTCACTGGCCCACAAGTACCAACAGATGGATCTTCCCGGGGGCAGGGGCAATTTTCATTACATCCCCTGCTCCTAGCTCTAGTGTGTACTCAGTATAACTTTGGATGGATGAATAAATGGCAGCTGATCCCCTTTGTGTGTGGGTGCAGGGCAGGCATGCAGCCCAGCAGCTCAAGGGCAGTGGAGAGGTATGACATGTTAATGGCAGAGCTGTCCAGTCACAGGACAGACAGCTGGGAGCTCCTGTCTCTGTGTCAACTAACCCGAACCAAGCCTACTGATTCCAGCGGGGTTCTGTGGAGGCCCAGCCTCTGGTGGGCAGCAGGGACTGGAGACCATACAGTGATCTGAATATAGAAGTCAATATCTCCTGCTTGCCTGAACCTGCGGTCCTCACCTAGGGTTCCCCCAGCCACAGGTGCATTCCTGGGAGGAGACCTCTCCAGCTTTATACGTAGGGGTGCAAAAAGTCAGGATCACATGAATGGATTGCCACAAGAGGGCGCGCTGGGCCTAGACTTCCGCTGAACGTTCAGATGGACAGAAACCTGAGGAGGCCTACCTGGCCTGAAGTGGGCTGAGAGCCAGGAAAGGGCTCTGCTGAAGGTGCAATTAGGAAGGTCTAGCTCAGGCTCAATGCTGAATTCAAGGTAAAATAATAATAATAATAATAATAATAATAATAATAATAATAATAAAGGTTGACTGGAAAACAGAGCCATATTATTTTCACCTATTATTCCAAAATTTCAAGGGCAAAATGGCCATAGGTGAAGGCCAGGTACTGGCATGGAGATGCAGAGAGGCGGGGTCTCAGAGACATCAGAACAGGGAATAGCTCTGTAATCCTGACTCCCGCATACTTTTCTGTCCACTCCCCAGACGTAGTCATTTTATCCTGGTTCCCAGAACACCTCTCATTTTGCCACCCTGGCACTAACCCCTTTGCCAACCTTCTGCAAAAAGCCTCCTGGCGTTGATGCCATCAGGTTTCCAGGTATGATTCAAAACACCTGGAAGTTCTTCCTGGCCTCTACCTTTTTATATCTGCTTTTTGGAGGGAAGTCTGAGCTTGGATCCACTGGCTCTGATTGCCCCAAGGCAGGGAGTGACCCCCCACCCTGCATCCCCACACTCTGGTCCGCRTGGCCTATCTGACAGATAGAAGAAGCTAGAAGGTACTTGTTGCTTGGTGGCCTTCCAGGATTCCTCTTTCTCCTCCCTCTCCCAGCCCTGACAACTCAATCCAGCCGACATGACAGGAAATGGGAGTGTGAGCAGGCCTGCAGACCAGATGGCCACTTTTGCCCACAGAAGGAGAAACAGGGCCATGGCCATCTCCCTTCTGCCATCTCCAGGTTAAGGTCATTTCCAGCCCTCGTGGTGGGAAGGGGAACCCCAGCTCTTACATTCTTTTGGCCTTGAAACAAAAGAAGCTGATCCTATGCTCAAGGGGAAATAAAGCCTGGGGGAGTTTGTGACTCCCCCACAGTAGGGTCAGATGTCACACCAGAAGGTCCCGGAGGACCTGGATAGGGATCAGAGTGGATCACCATTTCAGAACTACTGTGTCCCTGTGTAAAACTTTGGCTACTCTCTGAAAAACTCCTCCAGCTGTTGAGAGAGGGTGGGGTTAAGGAGGGAGCAGTAATTTGCATTGTATTTGCATTTCATTTGCATATCACTCTTTTGATGTCCAAAGGCACTGAAATTTCCTGTCTTTGCTTCTTTTCCCTTTCTTTCCTCTGTTCCTTTTTAACTTCCAGGCAGCCTCCTATCTCTCTCTTCCCCACAGCTTTTCCTCTCCAGAGCTAACAGTTCCTTGGAGTTATTAGGCCTGGGGGGCAGCTTCCCCACCAGCCCAGAACTCAAAAATCTGGTTTCATGGAGACTACTATGCTGGGAAAGAGGAGTGGGGGGATAAGGGGTCTTTCACACTCGCAATTCAGTTCATCTAATTAAAATGATTATTAAGCAAATCAGAGAAAGAGGGACTAGAAAATGTCTCTCTCTGGCTCCATACACACAACACACACACACACACACACACACACACACACACACACAGACTTTCAAGACCCAGGAAATGCACAAGCAGGGAAAAAGAGGTGGTCCTCTGTTCAGCCTTCTACTAGGTCTGTGACCAGGGGCAAGTCCCTCTTGCTCTGGGCCTCAGGTTTTGTGAGACAGGGGCAGATGATATCTAGGTTCTTCAAGTTATATGATAATAAAAGGAAGGGAAGAGAAGGGAAGGCTCAGAAGCTGCAGGGCAAGATTAAAGCACTGTTGGCTTCTAAATCCCAACCTTGCCATCCACTGTTAACCTCCCTGAACCTCAGTTTCCTTGTCTATAAAAGGGGTCTAATGATGGTACTTTCCTTGTAAATTTGTGCTGACTAAAAAAGACAGCACGTGTTCAATTGTGGCACAGTTCTTGGCAAGTAGGAAGCACTTAACCAATATTTATTGAAACGAATGAGTGAATGGCTGAACCTGAGGTAATACCTGCCACTCTCACCACCCTGACCCCATCCCTCCCATCTTCCTAGCTCCCTGCCCCAGGTTTGGAACCCAAAGGTTTGCTTCCAACTGTAGACTTGCAAGTGCCTATCTCCTTCTCAGTGTCCCCCTCCCCAAGAACTCCATCTCCCCTTATTCTCACCCCTCAGAATTCCTGGCTGCTGGAGCCCCAGAGACCTTTGAACATCATCAGATACCAGCTTCTCTGGCTTCTGGAAAACTAAACCCAAGAGGAAAAATATGTGACTTTGCACATGGAAAAGTGCAACAGGTCCCAGATAGGGTGCCAGAGAACTAGACCCTAGGTGCACATAGCCATGCAAATGATATGCAAATAGAGATATGGAAATCACAAGTATACTGGGGTATATTAACTTCAGGCAGGCATTTTTCTAGGACCATGGCAGGTGAGTGCAGTTGTAGATAAGACATGGACCTCAGGGAAGGGACCAAACATGAAGTGGGGGAGGGGAAGGAAAGGAGGATAGTGGGGAGGGAAGGAAGGGACAAAGGCTAAGAGTGTCCTTACAGGGACCCCTGGGGTCACTTGAGCCTCCAAGAAGTCATTGCTGATCTCTTCCCCTAATAAGAACCAGAAGGAACAAAAAGAAGATCCCTCTCTTCTTTCTAGGACAGGAGAGGTAGACATGACTGGTGCTATGCACTTAAGCATTTCCTGTTCCTCCAGGACTCTGGCAACACCCATTGAACATCTTTTCATGTTTTCTTTTCTCTCTTTCAAAATTTTATTTTTCTTGCAGTGTTGGCTATTGAACCCAAGAGTGCTCTACCATGGAGCTACATCCCCAGCCCTTTTTATTTTATTTTGAGACAGAGTCTCGCTAACTTGCCCAGGCTGGCCTCAAACTTGCTGTCATTCTGCCTCAGCTGCTGGGCACTAAACACCTTCTAATGCCTGGTATGTGCCCAACAGTGTTCTAGGGTACTTGGAAGAGGGGCAATAAAATGAACAGCCAGGAGGTAGCCTAAGGAGAGACTCACATAACACTCCACAAAGGCTATTAAGAACATTGAAATATCCTAGTAATTCAGAAAAAGATCAGATCACTTTCTACTTTAAAAGGAGGGGACATATGAATGGTGGGCAGACGGAGTAGACAGCAGTGCTTTTAGGTCAGGAGCTCCCACACTGACTGCATAACATGGGAAGTCAAACTTCTGACACCTCATTTTTTCCATCTGTAATGGAAATAATAATGGTACAATTTACTGGTTATGTGCACTAAATGAGATCTAAAGGTATCAAAGATGCCTTTAAACTGTTGGTCAGCACCATGCAGGGCACATAGTGAAAGCACAATAAATGCTAGGTATTGTATTAGGAATTATCAGGGTGTACATTCCAGGAGGAAAGAACGTTGTAAACAAGGCCTAGAGGCAGAAAAGCCCAGGACCTGCTCTGTGAGCAGAAAATAGACCTTGRCAGTAAGGTGATAGGAGGTTGATAGGGTGTCCTCTGGAAAATAAGGCAGGGCCTTATCCTCCTGATTGCACGAGGCTTTCTGAACTTTCATGCAGGTGGTCCCTTTYCCTTGGAATCATTTATTGGCCCCTGAAGAGAGGAGGAAAGAGGATGGGTGGGGTCTTGGGCAATGAGTTTATGATGGGTGCTGCAAAGAGACTAGAATGGGAGTCCAGAGATCTGATTCCAGCCAGACTCTGTTACTGGAGAATCCTGTACCATTGGACAAGTCACAAGCTTTGGAAAGTGGCTGTCACCATAACCCCCCCAGCACTGGCAAATCATCTCCACATCCATTTCTCATAGAGTCTCACAGCAACCTGCAACCTGGGGGCAGGGAATGGCAGGCAAGGTGCAGTTGTCCTCCACTGGAAAATGTGATAATAAGCTGGGGGCCATCCAAGTCCCACAATATTGAGCGAGAGCACTGGGGACTAGGTGAGCTTGGACACCTGCTTAACCCATGTAGATGCCCATTCTGCTCTGTCCCTGTCCGGTTTTTACCGATGAGTAACATGAGTTCAGGGAGGTGATGAGCCTGTCCCATACCGCACAGCTGGGAAGCGCTTGAAAGGAAGGATTCCAACACCAGATTCTTTCCAGCACACCCGCAAGGCTTCTTCAAACACTCCAGGTTCCTCTCAGGCTTACTCTTTGGGACCTGTCCAGACAGAAGCTCAGGCCCGGCTTGATACCCCGGCAGAGTTCCTAAAAAGGGCGCGCTGGACCGCTGCGGGTGTGGTGGGGAGGGGCCGCCAGGCCGGGTCCCCGCAGACAGGTGTTCTGCAGGGTCGGACCCGCCCCGGCAGCACCCGGACCCCTCGCCAGGCCCCCAGCTCCCCCGTATGCAAATGTTGCTTTGCATAGGCCCAAGGCCAGGCGCGGGGGCCTTGCCAGGGGGCGTGGCTAGCGGCCCCCGCCCCGCGCCGCGTGCTCACCTGGGGAGTGTGGCAATCCTGGCTGCGCCGAGTGCTGGCCGGGCCGGAGCAGCGGAGCGCGCGACGGCTGTGGCGACGGCTCCGGCAGCGGCTCCCGCGGCAGCGGCGGCCGGGGGCGGGAGGAAGGAGACCCTGGCTTCCCAGGGACCCAGGCTGGGGCAGACGCGAGGGGCCTGGGGAGGCACTGGCTTTGGCCCCGCCTGGGGCAGGATGGTGAATCTGGAGTCCGCGCACCCAGGTGAGGGGCAGAGGGAGTTCTGACAGGTGTCGCTGAGCGCGGAAAGGGGTGAAGGAGAGGGACACCAGGGGGCCACGGGGGCGGGAGGGGGACTTATTCCCCAGCGGCCAGGAGAGGGCAGTGTGGATAGCGGGTCGTCTTGGGGCGGGAGTGGGTTGCTGTCTGGGGAACTAAAGGGAATAAGTCTGGGATAAGGAACCTTGGAAAAGAAATAGGGTGAGGGCATGGGGCACTCCTGAAGACCCAGACCTGGGGAGCCGGCATTGCAAGGGACTTGGGTGTGCTGAATTGCTATAGTCCCATGATGTGGCAGGAGATGGGTGGTTCGCTCCCTCAGCCAGGGGTGTGGACCTGGGAGTGTATAAGTGAAGAAAATACGTGTATCCACATGCTACACCTTTGGTGTCCGGGCACCTATGTGAAATGGAGGCAAAGTGGGCATTTGTTGGGGGAGGCTTAGAAGAAGTGGGTGGGGTGGGGCAATTATAGAGGCACACCTGGGGGCAGGTGCCATACTGCACGTKTATTGATTAGGGCTTGTGCAAACATGTATCTGTGTGTGTGTCTCTGAGGAATATTTACCTGTCCCCATGTGTCTTGGAAGACGTGGTGGAGCAGACCCTAGAAGTGGAATGTTGTGGGGACTGAAAATACTTGCACATGCATTCCAGGTGTGTCTGCATGTGTGGGAGGTGTGCCCACTCACATGCTCTGCAGGTCTTTGCTGTGCTCTAGGCTAGGTGCATGATGGGCCTGTGTGCCAGAGGGGGTGGTGACATTTACATCCTCTAGGTCCCATGTCCCATGACCTCCTTTCCTGAGGCTGGGCATGCAGGACGTGGAAACCATTGCCAGGAGTCCATTTTCCCTGAGTGAATGAACATGGGCATAGAGTGAACCATGATCCCTTCATTTACCCTGCTGATCCCTTCTTCTGCAGCTATGCTGGGACAGTGGGTTGGGCTTGGGGGTGAGGGTGAGGGTGAGGGTGAGCGGTGAGCAAATAACAAAGTGAAGAAAACTATCTGACTTGCCAGGTGCTGTGGTGCATACCTGTAATCTCAGTGACTATGGAGAGTGTGGCAGGAGGATCACCAGTTTGAGGCCCACCTTGGCAACTTAGTGAGACCCTATCTCAAAATAAAATACAATAAAAAGAAAAGACTGTGGATGTAGCTCAGTGGTAAAGTGCCCATGGGTTCTGTCCCCAGTACTGGAGGTGGGGAGTAGGGGTTGGGGGAGAAATCTGTACTTGGCTTGGTCACTTCAAACCCAGCACCTTGTCTCAAAGTGGCCAGGACCAAGTGATCTTTATTTAGAATTTCAGGGTTGCTAAGAGTTTCCTTTTTTGTTTGCACTCCTTTTTCGAAGAACAGTGAGGAGGAGGAGGCAACTCCTGACCCACCCTAAGGAAAAGAGCAGGCTGAAGGCCCTTCCTGGGTCCTACCAATCCTGAAAACAAGTGGCAGTGGATACTCAGGGGAGCTGGGGAGCTCACTTCCTCAAGCACTGTTTCCCAGCAGGCCCGAGTGAAAGGCTGGCTGGCAGAGAGGTGTTGATATTCAGTGGCTCCCCAGGACGTGCCAGGAAGGCCTAGGTGAGACTGAAGGAACCATCCAGCTGGGTGTCATCCAGTATCTGAGGAAAGTCTGTTTCTAGACCCTGTGGTTTTGACATGGGGGTGGGGGTGCCTGGAGCAGACCCCCTAGACAGCTGTTTTTCCTTCTTCTGCTTCCTGCTGAGAAGGCCAGGGTTCAAATAGGAACAAGACTCCTACAGAGGTGGGCCCCTGGAGAGGGTGGGGAGTTCTTCAGGACCAAGATCAGAGACTTCCTGGGGGTTTTCCACCTCCTCATCTACTGGAAGCTCCTGCTCTGGGGAATTGGGAGGAGGTGGGACAGCTGGGACCTGGTAGGGAAGCAGCCTAGGGGCTAAGAGTGTCTAGTGGATGGTGGGAGAGGAAGTGAGGTGGAGGAGAGACCCAAGCCCCCATGGCTTCCCCTGGAGCCAGCTCTGGGCTGATGCTTCCCAGACAACAGCTTCACCCCCTTCTCCTGATGGCCAGGAGGATGCCAGGCACAAAGATGTCCTCCACCTTGGGGCAAGTTCATCTCTCTATGGTCACTCGCTGCTCATTTTTCAGTTCATCTCCCCTCAGGGCTGTTGGGCCACCCTGTAACAGTTCTTAGTCTTGGCTCTTCTGAGCTATCTGGTTTCCCTTCAGGGCACCTCCAATGGGTCCCTCAATTTGAAACTTTTCTGTGCAGTTTTTGATTGGGTTTTCTTGGTGGATTTTTCAGTTCAAGGTCATCTTTGTAGGGCCTTTCTGAATGGGCCCTGCTGTGCATGTGGGGGGTCCCTCTTCCCTCTATGTATTGTCATATTATGGGCCCCTCTCTAAGGTTCTTTAGGATTCTCTTTGTAGAAAGTTGGTCTCTCTCGAGTACCATGTTTTTCCGACCATAATGATCCAGTATCCTGGTGATCCTTGACAAAAAGGACTTCCCCTGTGAATTGCTAGTCCTGGGGTCTGGGAACTCCTCCTTGATTGATTTACTAGGGCATTTTTAGTTGGGGGAAGGAAGCAGAATAAGAGCACACAGGCGAGGGCATAGCCTGCCCCCTGGTCGGTTCACACAGCTCCTCTAGCTCTGTAGCCCCTGAGTCAGTGCCGTCTTCTTTCTCTGATAACCTGTGTGCAAGCCGTGACTCAGGTTTGCTTGGAGCTTTAGCACTTTGTACTTTACAAAGTATCTCTCATATAGGAACACTAAGACCTGAGTAGGCAAGAGGCCACCAGACACAGGGGCTCCCAGCCAAGGAGGGGCACTCCACTCTTAGGCCAAAAACAGGGTGTGAGACCAGCCAGTCAGCTACGGAGGGAAGGACAGGGAGAAATGGTGCGAATCCAGCAGAGGCGGAATACCTGGCTAGCTCCAGGGTGTGTGTCTGTTTCTGCGCTTCTGTCTGTGAGCTATTCACCATCAGGGTTGGGAAAGAGGGGTTGAGCATCTCAAAGTCAGTTAGAACTCAGGAATGACATGTGGGTCATATGGCCTGATTATGGGAGGGAAAAGAAGAGAGAAGCAATCTCCTCCAGGGGAGAGTTGGGGGCTTTGGCTAGCTCAGAAATGGGACTAGCAGGTTCCTTAAAATTTCCCTGGTAGAAGTACTCCCCACAGCTTATGAGGGAGGATCCAGGTAGAAGATTCAGTCCTTTCCAATGACATGAAAATGGGTTCCAAGTGAGACATGTTGGGCTTCTGCTTTCCTAGAGTAACCTTGTCCCAGGAGGTTTTCTGGGCACTGTGGTCACTCGGCCTGTTAACAGCCAGCAACCTGGGGGAAGAATGCCTCTGGGGCTTCCCTTCCCATTCACAGATTTTCAGGAGGGGCTTCTCCTTCAAGGCCACAGCTCAGGGAGGTCTAGGGCAGCTTTAGGGCATGATGGTGCTGGCTAAGGCAGATGAGGGTCTGGGCTCTTACACAGCACAGCTGAGCCTCCCCAGGGAAGGGAGTGATGATGGCAAGGAGCCTACTCAGTAGGGCTGAGATAAGAACACAGAGAATCCTGGCCCCACCCCACACCTCTCTCACTGCCTCCTGGCAAGTGCTGTTCAACAGGTGAAGGGTTAAGCGTCCCAGCGAGTTTCGGTGTTGGCCCATTTTTAGGCTGAGACCCAAGCGCTTGTCCCACCCATCAGCCTCAGCCTCCTACCCAACAAGAACAGGTTCTGGGTATCTTAGCATCCTATGGGACTGAAGGAGAGGTTTGACAGGTCATCTTGCTTTGTCCCTCCAAGCAGACTCAAATCCCTGTCCAAGCCTAAAGTACTATGATGTTGCAGAGCCCTGGCAGAGTGGAGGGTCTTCTGATGCCTTCGAAACTGACCTTTAGACATAAAAACTAAAGTTCAAGCTAACTTAAAAGATGAATGAGAAAGGCTCTGGGTATACTTAAAAGTGATGTAGGGAATGGGTGTTGGAAGAATTTGGGTTACAAGTGTAATATTCTGGCTTAGCTCAAAGAGTTTCCTTTTAAAGGCAGGAGTTTGAAATAAGTTGATTCAGAGACTCTGATCATCACCCCGGCTTCCCTGCCTCTCAACCTTTCCCTGTCCCCTTGAACACTTCTCCTATGAAGGCAGAATCTGGAGGATGTTAATGATCCTTAGGTCAAGAACAAGTTACAAAGTTGCCAAGACMGAAAACCAAAGCTGTTTCTGATAATGGGAAGGAGGCTGAGAGAGGGGCAGGACGAGGAGGCCAGAGAGGAAGGGCTAAGTCAGTGTCTGTTGGATTAGTGTTTTTATTAGGTGCTTACTTTGTTTTTATTCATTATTTCGTTTATTTCTCACAATAACCCTGGGAGGTATTTTTCATTATCCCCCTTTTTTATTTAGATGAGAAAATTGTCATTCACATATGTATCTAGAGTCCCCCAGCTAATGAGTGATGGGCCAGGGATTAAACCCAGATTTGTCTGACGCCCAGATTCCTGCTCTGACTCCCAGCTCTACTGAAGCAGGTTAAAACCAGCAAAGGGAGAGAACTTCCACCCTGTGCCTTCCAGGCAGTCTCTGATTGTGGGGTTTTCTCAACTCTGTTGAAGAATCCCCGCAGTACAGTATGAGCTCAGGTCTATGTTGGGCAATGCCCATGTTCCAGGGATCACCAGCACTGCAGAGGTGGGGGAAAAAGTGAAGCCCACTTCTTCGTTGGAGCAGAAGCGAGCAACCACAGAGGCCCTTTGCAAATATGTTCAGGTGGCTCACACTGATCGTTCTGCATGCTCATGCATGGCAGACAGTACAGCTTGAAATCGAAGCAGGAAGGACTGAAGTCAGGCTCAAGAAATGTCCAGGTGCAATGCCCAGGAGGTCCATATGGTTGCAGGGTCTCCACTAAGTGCACCCCCAATGTCTGGGGAGGGCTTCATGGAGCACCAAGTATTTACCAAGGAGTTCTCATTCAATCGACAGGTCTCATAGAACTCCTAGGGTCATTTAGTCCCCCACCCCCGACTGACTCCTGGAGTGTTCTTGACTCCCTTTCTTCCCATCGTGCTTGGTACCTCAGTCACAACACCCAGCAGGTGTAAATCTCTGCCAGAGCCATACACAATCACTGCCCTTTAAAAACACAGGCTTTCTCCCCTCTTTTCCTGAGGCAGAAGTCCAGCCTTTCCCCTCAGTCTGATCATCTCCAGACCTCAGACATCCAGACTGCCAACTGTCTGATTACCTGATGCAAATGAAGGCTGCCTTCTTGARTGGGATTGGCTGGGGAGCCGACTATGCAAATTGGCTCACCAAGACTATCAGGTTTGAAAGAGTTAAAGTGCTGCCCTAGAGAAGAGGGTGAGGGTGAAAGGGGGGGGTCACCCTGATTTGAATAAAATATTCTTCTGTCTTTAATAGCTTCAGTATTTGGGTGGTTTAATAAGGAGAGGAGTCCAGAGAGTTAGTTCAAAGTTGCCTCTTTCCTTGCCTCTGCTGACCCGGGAGGAGACTTAGGGRCCTCATAGGTGGTGGCAGCTGACTGTTATGGGTAAATGTTTAATTTATTAAAATGAAGCAGGGCGGGAGAGGCCAGACCAGCCAGGCTTGGGGGGCTGATAATGGGGCCCTGTGTAGGTATGTTTTCTCAGCAGGGCAGTGACACACTGCCACCCCTTTCTCACTGAGCAAGTTGAAAGAGTAGAAGAGAAGGTAAGGGTCTCCAAAGAAGAGGATCTTCAACACGAGTGACACAGGAGCTAGGGTTTGATCCCTAGAGGGTGCACTGATCTCTGAGTTAGGCAGAGAACTGGGGACCTAAGATGAGATGGGTAAACTTTGGTTCACAGGTACCTTCCTGGGTAGAGCAGGGCAGGGAGGAGAGAGATTTCTGGTGCTACTTTAAAGAAATAAAACAAATCTCCCAAATCCCAAAGAAAATGAAGGATGGGATGGGAAGGGCTCCGCACCCTACCTCAATGCCCCTCCCCTTGTTACATTTTTGCCAACTGAGTCTTGGTGGTAGAAGGAAGTAGCAATGATGCAAAAGGTGAGACCCTGCAGTAGCAATGGAGAGGGGGAGGAAGACAAGGAGAGGAGGCAGGCACGGGAGGAGGGGATTTGTGCCCCTAAGCTTATGAATATTCTAATGATTGTATGTTCGGGAATCAGGAATTTGAAAGTCTGATGGTTGTTGTAATTACACATTCATCTTTGCTGTTTAGTTAAAGCCACATATGTCATAGCAAGAAAAATTGTGACCTGTTATTAAAATCAGTTGTGTTTTCTCTGCAGATATCAAGATGAGTGGGGATGTAGCAGATTCCACTGACGCTCGAGGTGCTCTCAGCCACGTGGAGCCAGGTAAGGGGCTTCTCTTCTGGGGATGGAACAGGCAAGCAGGGTATGGGAGGAAGTTGTTGGAAAATGTCCAGCAGGGTAATGTCTGTTCTTGCTTGGTCTTTCATCCAGTCTTAGGAAGCAAGGGGATTCTCTGTGATCTGAAATGGGACCCTGGAGCTTTGGAATAACAGATACTGGTCTCACTGGAACAAACCTCTATAATGAAGTCAGGAAAGAGCCAGATTCTTAAGAAAACAAAACCAAATCAAAAAAGTTAGGAGGGCAATTCCCTTTTTCAGTGTTGGGGATGGGTGTCAGGGGCCTTGCACATGCTAGGCAAGTGCTGTACCACTAAGCTAGACCCTCAGAACTGTGATTCATTTTGAGATGCCAGTCCAACATGGCTAGAAGCAGCAGGCTGTGTTTCCAGTTGCCACTGACTAACTTAAGGTAGAGACTTCTTTTGGTAGATGGAACCAGGGTCTTTTAGCCCCATATTTCTCAATAGTCCTTATTTCTTTATGCATTTGTATTTTACGTATTGGTACTGGAGATTGAACCCAGGAGTGCTTTACCACTGAGCTACATTCCCAGCCCTTTATTATTTATTTATTTATTTATTTATTTAGAGACAGGGTCTTCCTAAATTGCCCAGCCTGACCCTGAACTTGTGATCTTCCTGCCTCAGCCTCCTAAATTGCTGGGATTACAGGCATGCACCATCACACCCAGCTTAACAGTCCTTAAGAAACTAATCAAAGAAGCCCATGCACAAATGTTCCCTTCCAAATAAAGTGTGTGTGGATGGTAAATAGGCTCAGAGAGGAGGACTTGATACCTAGAGATAATTTTACTTTATGTAGAAAAGAAAGAAGACAGAAAAGATTGAGAAGAAAGTTTCACAGCTCTCTTCCTTTTCCCTCCATGACCCAAGCTTTGGTTTGAAAACTCTATGTAATTAAAGAGAATTTACAGAAAGATAAGTAGAAATTGTAACTCCACCAAATAATTTTAATAGCATCCCAACAAGACCTCAATTAGCCTTTCATCTGGATCATTAGAGACATAGAAATTAGAAGAGAATCAATGTCCCCTAAAGCTAAAGTCTTTTTCAAGTCTTCTGGAATACTCTAGTTCCATTCTTGAAGCCGAAAGATCTGGGATCAGAGACAAGATAGTTGGGAAGCCTTGGAGGTTCATCTGCAAGATGCATTTTCCATAAGCTTTTGTGTTCCCCAAATTATTATTGAAATAGTGTCTACTTGCATGCAGTACACATATAACTACAGGTAGCTACAATCTGGGGTATGTACTGGGGATTGGGGATTAAACCCAGGGGAAGTTTACCACTGAGCTACATYCCCAGTTCTTTTTACTTTTTATTCTGAGATAGGTCTCTCTGAGTTGCTGAGGGTCTCACTAAGTTGCCCAGGCTGACCTCGAACTTGCAATCCTCCTGCCTCGGTCTCCCAAATGGTTGGGAATGCAGGCATGAGCTAGCCCGCCTGGTTCCAGTCTTTCTATTTGCTTTGTATGGAAGAACAGCTGGACTGAGGATAGTGGCACCCATTTTTCAATGGCTTTATTAGCTGGATATGGTTTACTAAGATCTGTGGTGAAGAGTACCTGTTCTTCCCAGTTGAGAAGAAATTTTCTTTTAATCTCAAGAATCTGAGATCAGTTCAGCTGGAGAGTGATGGGCATAGTGCCCACACTGACACTCTTCCCTTGGAGAAAAATCAGCCCAGGAGCCACGATCCTGAGGAATTTGGGTTGCTCTTTCCTGGAAGCAGGCTGGCCAGAGCCAACTCTTTTCACCTGGGCCCTATTACCTGGGACACGTCTAAGCAAGTGTCCATGTGGGTGAAGACCATACTTAACACTGGCACAGGGGCTTTGTCGTCAATTACCCTGAGCAAGTCAGGGGACTAGTACTAAGAGTAAGAACGAGTTGCACAGAACCCTGGAAGGTGAGCCAGAAAAGGGGTGGGGATCCAATCCTGGGAGGAGCTTAGGAAGGTTGATGTGTTACAGACCATCTGAACAAATTCTGACTTCCCGAGACAGTGGGAGTTATGCACAAAGTAGTTAAGGAAGAAAGAATCCAGACATAGGTTAGGACCCACAGAATCTGAATATCATCAAGGGATACTGCCAAGGTATCATGTGACTTCAGACCAGCCACTGTGCCCTCTTAGGAGGCAGGAACAGATGAGCTTTGAAAAGTATGGATTTAGAATCAAACAGACCTTGGAGAAATGAGCATCTCTGCTGCTTACTGGCTATGTGACCTAATCATTTATCCTTTTCTCTTCTGTAAAGAGGGAAGATTAATGCTGGTCTTAGAAAGTGGGCTGAGAGTTACTCGAGATGATATCTAAAGCCCTTAGCATAGGCTTGGTGCAGGGCAGCTGTGATCATTATTGCTTCTAATGGCCTCATTAAGATGCTGCGATTTTATAATATACAGAATGGGCATCACTGCCAAGTGCTCTTGGAACACAAGTGGCTGGGGTGCCCTGTTCCCCTTCACTCAACAGTAAGTGGATCCTCCTCATGGATTGGTTTTGTTCACTCATCCTTTCTGTGTGGTTCCTTCTCAACTGAAAAGAAATAGCGATGTCTGCAACTTTTGTGTGGACTACAGCTTTACGACGCCCCTCCACATTTTCCTTCAGGGCTCAGCTCCTAGCTAGTAGCATCAATGCCTAGGTGATTCTCAAATTACTGTATGTTTTTAAGGGCAAGAAAAAAGAAGTAGCTAATTACAGTAACCAAACTTCCTGGAAAGTCACTCTGACTCATTTTTTTTTTTTTAACAGAGGAAAGCTTATTATGAGTTACAATGGTTACCAACTTGGTTTAATGGCTTCCTTTGAATTTTTAAAAGACACATTCGCCTTCCCAGCAGTGCATGAATTAATGGGTGGTTTGTCTCTGGGTTTTAAAGGAACTATAAACAAAGATGACCTAGAAAGCCCATGTTCCATGAGAGCACCCCAGGGTTGTGTGAAATCCCCAAGGGGCACTAGGGGTGGGAGCTGCGAAAATGAAACGAAATTCCCCATCCACATTGGCCAGGAGTGCCAAGGAGAGGGTTCTCAGGCCCAACACAGACCTCCCAGTTGGTGGGGACCTGGCAAGACAGTTCATCCTCCTTTCTCCTCCAACACAGAAGAGAATAAATTGTCCAAGAACTTAGGCAACACTAGGGACCAGGCAGAGGTTCCAGAACCCTTGTCCTCACCACACTCCCCACACACACATACAGAAGAGTTAAGTTCTTTCTACGTTGCTCAAGYATTAACTTTTCTGACCTTCCTAATATCTGCCCACCTGTTACTACTTCTCCTTCACTTTTGGAGCTGACAATATTTATCTGTTCTCAATTAAAGACTTGAAAAGAATATAGCCTTACTCACATTTCAAAATCCCCCAGGCKGAAACTGTCAGTCCCCAAGCATGGATCCAGCTTACCCTGTGACTTTTTAATCCCACTTCTCACATCTAGTCTCAAACACAAGAGAAAACATGAAGAACTCAGGAGCAAGTAGAAAAAAACCAGTGACATTTGCAGAGCCTGCTTCCCAGACTGGGCCCATGTGGGCAATCTTATGTGCATTATCTCATTTAATTCTCACAATAAGCCTAGGAGACAGAGGCATTATTGTCTCCTTTTTCACTGATGAGGAAATGGTGGCCAAGTGTGAGAAACTAACTTGCCCGGGGTTGCACAGCTTATAACCAGGAACCTAATTCAGGCCTTTGTGATTCTGCCAGGTTCTTCTCTATAAAGGAGGGGTTTGGACTSGATCGTCTCTAAGGGCTGAATTGTAAAAGCTGCGTGTACGGCTCTGCTCCTCAGAACTTTCTCCCATCCATCATGTGCACGTCTCGTGTTGGTGTGTAGTTTCCCAAGTACTGAGCTCTCCCATGGTTTCCCTCAGCCACTCCCTGTTGGTTCCCTTCTTTCCTCCCCCCCCTTCTTCTTTTTTTGATGATCTCCTCCAGTGTCTCCAGCTGTTTTGCTGTGTGAGGGCTCCAATCCTCTTCTCTGACCTAACTGGCAGTTCCTTTACCATTTATGGAGCACCACTCTGGGTCAGACCCTGGGCTCAGAAAGATGAGGACAAATCCCTGTCCTCAAGGAGCAATTGGCAGGGATTCATGACTGCTTGGTCGATAGCGACAACTTGTGTCGGTGAGCGCATTCCCAAACTCATCCTGCATCTGGCCTTTATAACGGCTCTGTGAGAGTAGGTGTTATTATCCCACTTTGCAGGTGAGGAAATAGAGGCTGGCAGTGAGAAAGAGGATTAGCTGATATTTCCAAGGACCCTGAACTGAAAGATGATAGAATGAAGCCTGGATCTTTCTAGTCACTTTTTTCCTAAAGGTGATGCTGGGAAGACTGGGGACCAGCACTGGGAACCAAGGACAGAGGATGTTAAAGGATCACAACTAGCCTCAAACACAAGAAGATCAGGGTGGATGCCAAAATGGTGGAGGGTGTCAGGGCTGGAGGGGACCCAGGCCACCTGTAGGTAGATTGATCTAGTCCAAGTAGCAGAAGCTGATTGAACTAAAGCTCCCTGCTTGCTGGAGAGGAGAGGAGAAGGACTGGAGCCAGCTGCCTCCCTCTCTGAACTGTGGAGGTTGAAGATCTAGCCCAGGAGAGAACATTTTCCTTCTCTTCTCCCTCCTGGTCTCCCCACCCCGCATCAGGGTCCTAGCCCCTCACCCCTCTGCAGGCTCAGTTGTCATTTGACAGAGGGAGTGCAGTGGGGTTCCAAATCCAGGTGGCCAAGGAGCCAGTGCCCTGGTACCCTTGTCCTGCTGGGTAAAGAAGAGCTCCAAGAGGGGAGCCCAGGAGAAGAAAGGGGACACTAAAAGTGAGGAAGGGCCTGGACTTTGTCATTCAGCCCTACCTGTGGCCCTTCTTTCCTGACCTCAGTTCTCCTGAGGTAGAATGACAGCCATCAGTCCCCAGCGCAGAAGGGACACCAAGGAGAGTCAGCAGT